GTTTCAAAGTAGGCTATCTATATTCTGTCCGCTGCATGGAATCGAGTACCATATTTTAGAATTGTAAGTCTGTAACCTTACCCTTTAACCACTGGGAGACTGGCTGTAAGGCTACATTATGATACGAATCCAGGTTAAATAGTTAGCACACAGGATCACCTACAAAAGTTGTAATCCTTTCAAAACGAGACTCAAAACTCGAAATATTATGCTACGAATTTTATTGTTAATGTTCAAATTGCGGAGTATATGTGTTAAGTTGCCTAAATCTCTACATAAATATTCTGGTCTTTTTCACTGCTTCATCCTGATTACTCAAAATTGATGTATAATCTCTATTTTACATAAATATTCACGTATTAATGTGATTATTTCTCTTTAGAGTTAACATTCATCAATTAATTTTCTAAAATTCTGAATCCTAATATTAACATTAAAATATGTCGAGTATCATTATAAACACACACACACACATATACATACATATTTAGATATATACAAAGGTTGAATGCGTTAGGCTATCTATAAGCCATGTAATGTACGAGAACGATGGACATTCATAGACGCTATATCTTGGTGTGGAGTAGCATAAATACCCATTTCATTTTCCAACTGCTTTAGATATGGATTTGTCACGGAAAAAGCTTGTGTACATATGACTTGTATCGCTTTTCCAGACAGAGATTCTTCTTGATTATGTTGCATACTGTTGCCTCGACACATGTACTGCTTTGGCTACTGATCTCTTTGTTCGAATATTTTCGCCTGCTACAAACCTGTTTGTTATTGTAAAAACCCGATTTTTAGCGTTATAAGCCTTCAGACACACCGCTCAGCCACTGGGAGGAGGGGCGCCTGCTACAAGACTCCGTACTTTGCTTACGACGGCTGTGGTATGACTTGTTGCAGGTCTGTTTCCAGATGGTCCTGGGTTCCCAAGATGATATACATCCCTTTGTTTTCCAATGCCATTAAGAATAATGAACATTCACGTACTGTAAACTCTAAATACTTAGTCTGAACACATTTTTATAATCTACATGTATGAATATTTTGGGTCGAAAAGGGCTGTTACATGTTCTTCTCAAAAGCGAACAATTTTGGTGGCATCACACCAATACCGTAATGCCAAGTAATGTCAAAATGCAATTATGAATCAGGCTGTTACACTGCAACTTAATATCGTCTGTGGTTACCGCGTGACTTGCTGATTTGCATATTCAAAATCGTTTTAATATAATATACTCAACCTTCTGTTCACAATAATAAATGTGTTTGAGCATGTATGTGTATGACAAATCAATATTTGCTTCCTATATTAATAAAAATTCCAACATTCAACAGCTTTTTGAGGCCGTTGCTTTCCAATATTTTCATTTATTTTATTGCAATTATGAATGCCAAGTGCAAAAGCAATGAATAAAATGCTTACGATATCGACAATCAAGTCATTACATTGACGGACTTATCTTAATATCGTACGTGTTTCACTACTTTATATGGAGTAATTGTCTGTAAAATTGAAAATATATCAAAATCAAATTAAAAGAAAGGGAAGAAATTGAATTAATTATTCAAAATGTTGTAAATCATGTTATAAAATAATGCTGTTACTTTATTATTATTTAAGGAAAAGAAAATTTCACAATGCTCATAATGTAGTCTATATAATAATCAAAATAGCATAGTTTTTATTCGTTTTCCATTACAGCCAAAACGCCATAATTACAAATTTTGAATAATAATAACATAAAAAAACTCTTAAACAGAGAAATATTCTATTCATCTATATTTTGGCTGGATGGACTGTTTAAGAATATTAAACAAAAGACTTAATGTAAATTAAGAAGCACAGTTTGCTAAAGTTATCAATACTCAGACAAAAAGCTCTTCGTCGTCACGAAATGTAAATTTCATTTAGTGTCTGTTTTTGCAGAAAGGTCCGGCATGACCAGGTGGTTAGGGGGCTTGACTCGCAATCTGAAGTTTGCGTGTTCGAATCCCCGCCCCACGCCGTGGGGGCGTTATGATGTGTCGGTCAATCCCACTATTCGTTGGTAAAAGAGTAGTTCAAGAGTTGGCGGTGGGTGGTGATGACTAGCTGCTTTCCTTCTAGTTATCCACTGCTAACTTAGGGACGACTAGCGCAGATAACCCTCATGTAGCCTTGTGTGAAATGTAAAAGAAACCAAACTAACCATTTTGCAGAATAAAGGAATCCCTCCCCAACACAAACGAATTACTAGATGTTACAATTTTTCCAAACCTTTCAAATTTACCGATAAAAGATTTTTTTAGGTTAGTGAATTACTTGACCATCATTCTACAGTTCTGAAAGAGAAAATAAAAACAAATATTTGAAAACTGATATAAAAATCGCTATTGTCAGAGCCATCAGGGAATCAATATTTTAAGATTGCAAGCAATCTGTGCGAAAGTCACAAATTAATTGACTATCTGTGATAAAACAGATTTTCCAATGAGTTTTGATGAGAACTCGGCAGAATTGCGGTTGTTTTTTTTTTTAATCTATTAAACTGAAAAGGGGATTTTCTGGGGAAAACAAAAATACCTATACGAGTCATTATGTCAAAACATGTTTGGAGCCGTCACGAAAACTAAAGCGTTTGTTTACTCACTTGCATTTCATTCGGGGAAATACAGGGCTTTCATAAAATGGAAAACAAATTGGATTAAAACTGGTAGTGAAAGCCTTGCATGACGAGGTTTAGTAAAAGACAATATCCACAGGCATTTAATTATCAGTAAAGCTAGAGTGGTGCGTAGAACGTTGTCGTATTGCAGTTTTGAAACAACTAGTAACGTTGTTTTGATAAGTGTGCAGAAGTCTAACTATGGAATACTATTCGTAGAATTGACTATATTACGTGTTTCAGAGCAATCAAATGTATTTTTAAGTGTCATGTCAAGGCGTCTCTGTGTGTTGTGGTTGAACAGTGAAAGTGTTGACACTGTTGACAAAAAAGTAAATATTCAAAATTCTATTTCAGCCAAATGTATCGAGTGATTTTTCAGATATATCTAATACAAATAAAGGTAAAACATGGGGTAGCGAGAATCCTGGAAAGCTATCAGATGGCAAGCTGCCACCGTTTAAGAGCTTTGAAGAGCACATTCTGAAGTTAATATGCGAATGTCCTTTTAATTTAGCCTATATTGGTGACGGACGTTTTAACATTAACGGATACTGTTTTTAAGTGTTAAGTTATTTTAAAAGTTCACTGATTAGAGACATTAAGTGTAATGGAAATCTAATGCGTTTGGAGTAAAATGGAAAAAAATCTCCTTTCCATATTTACTGTCTCATATTATACGTTTCTTCATTGCTCTTTGAAACGACATTTGAACTGACGTAGATATCAAGGTTCCATTCACGACAATCAGTTGGTTGTAAAAACATAATAGATAGCAAACTTATTATTTTTACTGCTTTATAGACTTGTGAAAATGTTTAAGGCCGAAGTAAAGTGTAAGCGTTTCAGTTTCGGGCGTTTCTCACAGAAACACGAATATTAAAAACGTAAGAAAGACGTAGAGTAGATTTTAACATAAAAGTTTCAGGAAATGGATAGTTACGGTAAAAGTAAGTCTGTAATCATAATGATGATTGTTCGAAACATTTTCTTGAAATTGATACAGTTTTTGTTCTCTTTGAACGGTTTCAAATAATCTAAAATTTGTAGATGTTTAATTTTTTAATTTTTTATACGCCCCCCCCCCCAGTGGCACAGCGGTATGTCTGCGGACTTACAATGCTAGAAACCGGGTTTCGATACCCGTGGTGGGCAGAGCACAGATAGCCCATTGTGTAGCTTTGTGCGTAACTTCAAAGAAACAAACTCTTTTTATACATTGTTTATTGGCTTTTAGCGGTAAGAAGTTTTCTGTTTACTTCATGTAGATTTTAATCTACTTTGGTGGAAGGACTAATGACATCTACTGATAATACATCTATATAATGACAAGTTATATCTCGTTCAGCCAAGGTATATTTTCAACGACTTTTCTGTGGTTTACCTTCTCTAATGCATGGTATAAAGTACTCTTTTTATGCCTGGTCATCTAACAGCTTCCATTGTCTACATTTCCATTCTGTAGAACCAACTTATTGCAGCAATCGTTGTTGAAGTCATGTGTTACACAACACTGATAAAGTAAAACAGATATTAATGTAATTTACATTCGACTTATTTACTCAATAAAGCAGACTAAGGAATATTTCCATATTAAATGGTCTTCATACAGAAAACGGGTGCTATACCTTACTATTTATCATTTAACAGGTCTCTTATTTGTACGTTTCGCTGTTAATGCAGTTTATTATTTTTTGTTTTTATAGAATTTAATATTTATTACGTTATGCTTCTACCTTAGATCAAGCAACCATTCATTCAGTAATATATGTCTTAACACTCAAGCATTTGATTTCATAGCTCCTGCAAATATATTAAATTAAAATTTCCTTTACAGATTGAACAAAGAAGAAAACTTCTCAATCTATCTATTAAACTTCTATTTCTGCTATTATCATCTTAAAATTCACATTTTTTTCTTGTTTAGTAAACAGACATAGTATTATTCTGTTTAGAACTATCGCCAGTCAAATGCATTTACAGACGTCTTTTGTAGTTCTAAGTAGGCATAACGGATTATGGGACAGAAAACTGAAGAAAGAAATTCAAAAAAGTGGGAGAAACGTAACTATGAAAATATTTGGAATATAACAGGATATCAGGAAATTGGATACTGTTGTGGCTCATATTCCGAATGCTTTATATATCATTATTATACTTACCTTAAACAGAGGATACCACATTTTGGACTTTGATTTTGGCATTGGAATACACCATATGCAGTTATGAGATACTTTGTGTTATATGTATACTGACTTTTTGATCTAGCAGGACACCATGGAGTGTAACGTCTTTTAATTATCACTAAAAGAATACGAGAACTAATAATTCAGTTCTTTCTCTCAGGTGAGCATCGGTTTCCATGGCTTACAGATGTCAAAGAACTTTACGATGAAAATTTCGAAGACGATACAGTGTTCAAAAGGAACGTTTTGTAAAATGTCTTTAAAAAACACAGTTATGGAGTTTCGTTGGAAAACATCATTTCTTCGTTGTTTACGTTCGCTATTTCTTCTAGTTCACCTAGTCTGTACTCAGATGGCGCTGTCCCAAGGATCTCCATTAGGTAAGTAGAGAGTTACGCATAATATTTAAAAAAAAAATTAAGAAGGTGGCTTAATAGTTCGTTAAGCTTTGGAATTATTTTCACAGAACGCATATTTAAATTTTTGATATTATACATTATTTTAGAGTAACTTGAAGTATATTAATTCTGGTTTCTGTACTTATATATTGTGTATTATTAGATGCGAATAGTAAGATTTAAGTATTTTACAATCACTATGCAGGGTTCTAACTGTAGCAGTTGTTTTCTCAATATACATATACAGTATATAGAATCACAGGTATGGTTTAAAGTCCTGTTTCTAAGATGGTCATGCAAAATACAATGTATTTTCAACAGATGTTATCCAACAGTCATTTGCTATTGAACCTGCAGACAGAACAGCCATTCAAGGCGACACCATTGTTTTACCATGTCGAGTATTGCATAAGAAGGGAACCTTACAATGGACTAGAGATGGGTTTGGACTTGGTTCGGAGAGGTCACTAGCTGGATTTCCTCGTTATACTATGGTCGGCAGTGACGAGGAAGGTGAATAGTATACTTTTAATATCCTTTTTACGAAAAAACAAAAAAGAATGTGATATTGAAAGTACTTCTAATTGTGTGAAAATTCTACTTATTAACCTTGCAATTATATTTTAACTTGTGTTTACAAAGATTTGTAAACATTTTATCCGTGTCTTGTCCTAACAATTGTGCTTGGCTTTTTTTGCCCATCACAGACAAACGCCTAAGTCTCCTCTCAGAAAAGCCTATTGGGGAAACATATTTGTAAGGAAGAATATGCTTCCTTTAGGTGTAAACTTGTACATCTTAACATATTCACATTGATGGTATTTTCTTGTTTGTCAGCTGATGTTTCGGTACGCTGTAAGGATGGTGAAATCTATTTTGATTTTCTTCAACTCTTTTGTTTTTAACTTAGAAAATTCCTGACACAAATTTAAAAGCGAAATCATTTTTGTATGTTTAAAAATATATTCAAGTTTTGTGTATTGGATAAGCTGTATAGATCTTAGGATCAGAAACCTGCTGATTTTTTCTATATCGTTAGTTTCATTGATGTTATTTGTTAAAATGTTTAAAATTGTTCATTTTCATTACATAAACCGTTATTTGTTGTTTGCTTTGTTTATGGAGTTTCTGAAACCGGCCCAACTTCATGAGATATTATTGGAAATGTGACTGGAAATATATCCGAAATATGTTTTAATATATTATAACCATTATTTCTTAAGCATTTTTTAGACATTATGTTATTCTATCAATTTGATATAAAGAATTGTCTTCATGAATATGTAAGTTCTGTTTCAGTTCCGATATATACAACTAGCTATATTATTTAATGTTTTACACTTAATTGAATTGTGATAATTTGTTAAACTAGAGTAATGTGTAAACATTGTGCAAATTGTGAATGCTCTGTAATATTGCTTAGAGATGAACGAAAATGTCCTATTTTTTATGAATATGAAAAAAAAAAACGAAAACATTAGTTGATCTGACTAGAAGTGTTAATGTTTTCAAAGCAGTTGTTTTCTTAAACGTTCACCAGTGGATCAGCGGAAAGTTTACGGACTTTAAACGCTAAAATAGAAGGCTCGATTCCCCGTCGTGGCAAGAGCGCTGATAGTCTATTGCGTTTCGTTTCGCCAAATAAAGCACAGTTAAAGCTTTACAAGTTCTATAGTATGATAAGATATAATTCTTCGAAAAGACTGTTTCAAATATTATTTAACAGTGTTGTATCAGACGTCAGAAACAAGCATCTACATCTTAATTGTACATAAAGGTTTCCCTCAATCCCACACAAGTGATAACAAAGCTACTTGGGAATCATAAATGACACTAAGTCTTACATGTTATCTACATTCAGTATTAGAAAGAAATCGAATTACAACTTTTCTGTCTGTGATCTGTGAAACTAAACTGTGATAATAAAGAAAGGCTTAAAAATTATACAGCTCTATAAATATGCCTCGAATTATAGTTTGAGTAAATATGTATTTATTTATGTATGTCTCGATCTTTGAAAAGTCAATAATATCGATTTGAAACATTCATTGTAATATTTACTATTATTCATATAGCTTTAGAAGTCTCGTCTTTAAATAAGCTTCTTGATTGTTTTATTTTGAAGTGTCAAGTATATTTTCTTTATCTGCAGGGGATTTCTCACTTCAAATTACGAATGTCAATCTAGAAGACGATGCCATATTTCAGTGTCAAGTTGGAGCTTCGGATGGAATAAAAGGAATTCGTTCTCGAAGCGCAGCCTTCACAGTTTATGGTAATGTTATCTATTCTATGTAGTTTTTAGTCACACATAAACTCTGTATTAAAACACTTTTTCGAACACATCAAATGTATGTTATTCTCCTTTTCATGTATAAATATACATATTGACTTAGCGTCAAGGCCAATAAACAAGAACAGGTGTTGAGAATCATTGTGGAAATGCACCTCGTAATGAAACGAGAACCAATGTTTATAATTATATAAACAATTTATGTTAGACTGGACTGATGTATCGGTGGTTGCTTAGAATAATTATTAAAAATATGTTATTTACTACAATCAACGTATTTCTTAAATTATTATGCTTTGATATTATTGATTCAGTACGTTTTGAAAGCGTTTTTAGTTATTGCTCTAAAATTATTGTATATTGTATATGTGTGTGTGTGTGTATATACAATGGTGGAAAAACTTATTCCATCACCAAATTTTTTCACACTTTTCTTCGGAATCATCGCCTGTTTTGGGGCTCTAATGCATGGAGATGCAAATGTGTTTCATGGAGGATGCAATACTGTCTAATTATTACATCAGTAGTTTTATAGACTATCTGGGTGTTGCAGAAGCCCTTTTTTGGCTATAAATATAGTTTTTCTACCGAGATTCAGATTAGAGGCCTATCTCTTACGTCTTGCATGTGATGTTACCATGACAAAGGGTTCCGAGTTAACTCCACGGAAAACAAAACATTCGTTGTTTCTTTGAGAAAGGAGGGACGTTCGACAGGGCAGATCGAATGACATGGGGATTCATCCCTGACCAGAGTGTGGGACGCCTGTATTTTGTAAAAGACACTGTTAATGCCAACAAATAAGTTAAGATTCTAGAGTCCCGCTTAAAGTCAACAATTCGGGATCACTTCGGTGAGGTTGAGAAGTATACATTCCAGGATGACTCTGCTCCATGACACAGGGCTTACAAGGCTGATAATATTCATGTACTCTATGCAGTAGACGTGAAATAGAGGAAATTTCACTCTACGTGTATTGAAACACATTTTAGGTTTTATTTCATTGATTCTGGTGAAGGACTATTTTCGAAAGGAGATGATCAAAGCACTACGCTAACCAGCAACAGCCGAGATCTCAACCATATCGAAAACTGCTGGAAAGTAATGGGTAACAAGGTGCACGAGAAGAAACCGAGAAGCACCTTCGAACTGCAGGAAGCTCTAGTCCGAGTGTGGTATCACAAACTCACCCCTGCCTACATTCAATCTCTCGTGCACTCTGTGTCAAGGTATTATCAAGGCCAGAGGGGCACAGCCAAATATTAAACAAGAAACAGACTCTACGAGCACTTTTTTGTCAATTAGATTAATGGTGTAATTTTTAAGTCCAGGTTTTATTACTCGGAGAACATTTTCGTTTTTGCTAAGTATTTGTCCATTATCTACTGTAATACGTTTATCACAATTGTTTTGTTAATAAAGATACATATGTGTGTGTTTGGATGCCTGAATTACGAGTCAGCTTACATCACAAATTATCCATTATTATTTTACACTGGTTCTTACACTTGCACAATGCACAATTTCATAAAAGAAATTACAGGAACGAAGAAAAATGTAAAAACAGTTTGGTGGTGCAACAGCTGTATATTATATCCACTTTCTGTTCTGACAGAAGCATATTATTATATTTGAAATTTCAAAAGCATAAGATAACTTTTCAAAATTATGTAGAATTATTGTAGATTGTCTTTGATTTATTTCTTTAAAGTTGTTCCTTCACTATGCCCATTTGCTATGTTTACGCTTATTGTATTTCATACTTGTTACTTTATATGCTTTTTCTAGTTATCATATTTACTATGTTTATGCTTATTGTATTCCATACTTGTTACTTTATATGCTTTTTCTAGTTAGCATATTTAATATGTTTATGCTTATTGTATTCCATACTTGTTACTTTATATGTTTTTTCTACTATGTTTACGCTTATTGTATTCCATACTTGTTACTTTATATGCTTTTTCTAGTTATCATATTTACTATGTTTACGCTTATTGTATTCCATACTTGTTACTTTATATGCTTTTTCTAGTTATCATATTTACGTAGCACCTTTAATTTTGCCTTGCTTATATAATCTGTTGTGTTTTTTATATTCGGTATTTTCCTATGATGTTCATATATATATCTGTTTTCTTTAACATATATATATTGCATTTATTCACCCTAGTGTTTGTTTCCTCATGTTTATAATGTTTATAGTCCACATAGCAAAACTGACGTGCAATCTGATAAAAACGCCGATCCAAGCTATCGTAAAAATGATTTCTTAGAAGACTTTTCAGCAAAATGTGTCTCCATGGTAGATACTGTCAAATCAATTATACCGATAAAATCTGTGTTACCATCACACATTGAACAATAAAGATAAGTCATCTAAACAGTCTTTTACCATCCACATCATCTGAACTGAGAAGAAAAAAGATATGTAATCATTCACTGTCACTAACCCTTGTCATGACTCGGAAACGGCTCCATTTTGTTTCTGTGTGGGGATTGTACATTATTTACTAAGAGTGCTTTCAAATATCAAACGTTTGTCAGCAGTTGGTTGAAATACATGAGACCTATAATATTATACGATTCGAGGGAATAATTTGATTTTCAAAATGGGACAAATTTCAAAAGTTTGTCGCGAAAAAGTATTCAGCTGTTGGTTTTACACGATACTTTTCTGTTCATGTTATTACGTGACTTTATACATATTGTTGTATTTATGAATCAAATTTTCAATCTTATGCTTGTTACACATACACACAGAAAACAGATAGATAAATATTTCTTGGCGTTTTCTATCTTGAACATGCGTCTTTCTCCAATCTACGTTAGTTGGAATTGAAACGACTTTATAATAATACTGAACTCTTGTTTATTTCATGAAAAAAAAAGAACAAACAACAACAACAAAGACCAGTGTGCAATTACTTTTACTTTTGTGTTAAATTTAAATAGTTCCATATGTTTAACGTTGAAATTAGACAATTAAAATGAGATGTTTCCCACGTGGTTTGTTGATTGAAACCGAGGTGAATGTTATTGAGAAGATATACATTGTTAGCGCAAATACATTGACTGTAGTGCCATCTTTCAGCAAAACAAGACCTTTACCAATAGAAGCTGGTCACAGTAACACAATTGTAACAGATGTTAACACGCGTTTCCTAGTGTCAAAGCAAAACTCTCTACCAATCAGCCCGACAAAAAGAATGCTAAACGACATTGAATTACAGTTCTCCTGCCAAACGCTGACGTACTAACTTTTGAAAGCAGACTTTGATAGTTTAGAATTTTTAGAATAAGAAAATAATAAGAATTTTCATGTGCTTTGTTTTTGCTCCGTGAAATATTGGAATTTTATACTACAGGAATTTAAGTTGTTTTTGAGAAGGAAATTCAGGCACAACATTTAAACATATCTACCATATTCATGATATAAATTATATTACGTTGTTTCCGATATAATTAAATAATTGTACCATGTTTTTAAGGTGTATCCTCTAAAGAACATTCCATACATGATTATTATATAGAAGGAGTTTGTACAATATTCTTGTGATGAGTCAGGATAAACATAAATCTCTTGGTGCTCCCTGTAGACGGCAAACAAACCCCATTAATAAGATTAACAAACTCAGTATGTGTTTTCCATAACATTGAGGTTAAAAAACTGTTTTAGCTAACAATCATGTTGATATCATTAAGTAATTGCAGAACAAGATGTCTCAAAAATAACCCGATCTCAATGGAAACCTACTGTTTTAATTTTTGGTTAATTTTTAGTCCCCCCAGAGCCCCCTCGAATTGTTCAGAGCGACTTTCTGGAAACCACTGCTGGAATGACAGTAGAACTAACGTGCGAGTCTAATGGAGGAAAGCCGCCTGCAGAGGTACGTGTTATGAAATCCATGTGCTTGTATAGTAATTCAAATTTCTATATTTGTTTTACTTTTGTTTCGAAGATGTAGGAGTGGGTGAGGGTAACTTGTTGAATATTATTAGTGAATCAAAATAGCGATACGGTATAGAAACCAAGATTACATTTCATTTTATTAATTTTTAACAATTCTGGCTGCAAACGGTATCCTAGCAAGGATGTTTTAGTACTAGTAGGCTTGATGCATTACATGGTAGCTATAAATTCGTGTTAGAATCATACGATCAATACGGTTTAAGAAATGTAGGGCTCATGAATTAGTAAATGTTTATTTAAAGCAAGACGAATAGATGCTCTAACTTTCATTTTAGCTCGGGGTAACGAATAAGTAAGTCTTCGAAAACTTAGAAAATAATACAGGGGTAGAAATAAATTCTAAAATGGGCAATTAGTAGCAAAGAAGTGTCAAGAGAGATATATAACAGTGAAGCCTAAGAATGTATTTACATATTTCCTTTGGAAATTAAGCAGTTAACAGTTATACAGTATTAAAATTTGAATTATCGACATACACTGATAATAAAGTAAGTTAATTACATTTTGAATGTAACTCTGAAAAAGGTCTTTTTGAACTATTTATATCCAAAGAGTTAATGTGTATGAAATCTTACAATTCTTTAAATATGACACGTCTCTTATTATAGATAAAGCCTAATTTCTTTTTTTTACATTTTTTGCATCTTTTTTTTTTCAGCGTATGCATAACCTTGCATGCTTTTAGTTTTAGTATACATAAAGTTGTTTCGTTTCCAAAACCATTATAGCTATTTCAATCTGCGGCATGTTACAGGCACCAAATAATATTCACTCTTGTGAAATTAATCTACGATTGGACCCCAGTCACACTAGATCCAATGCATTATGGTACATAAACCAGAAAAGAGTGCGTGTCAGACTTGCTTCCATTATTAGATTAGATGTCTTTACGCTTTACTCCCTGGGCAAAACCTAGCTGGAGGTATTGCCTGCAGAAGATACCAAGACGTCTCAACAGCTCTCCGAAGCAAAGCTTCCTGATTAGCCATCACGTACATGGGGTAAACGAGCTTTGTATTGATTTAAGATGACCTACGTTTTTTGGACTTTGGTCAGTAGAACAGAGCAGTAAGAGACAATAGGGACAACTGGATTTTTTTCTCGTGAGTGATGTTGCAGTAACAACAATCGCCTGGATCCGATAATTTTGCTAATGGAACAATGCAAGTACACAATTTTTAGGGAGGGACCGCGTGATGTAGGCACGAGGTGCTTTCAAGCAGACAGGTCGATAGTACAGTTTCTAACAAAGCACAAGTTTTACCATTATTGGGAGCGCGGATAAAAGAAAAAAGTTTAAGCTGTCCTTTAATTTGAAATAATAGTGATACTAGAAAAGAAGGCTTAGTACTGAAGAGCAAGAATTATCACACTCGTTGTTTTTCATAACAACAATAACATGTTAAAAGTGCATTCATAACGCTATTACTTACAAATGGCTATTGCTCTATGAAGTTCGTTAGTAGATTTTTACATATAAGGAAAATTTGTTTGAAGTTTAGCTCTGTTGTTGTTTGTATTGGTTTAATGAGAGGATTTTGAATTGTACTTAGAAATTTAAAGATTAAACGGCTGGTAATTTGGATTGAGTTATTTCTTAAAGCTAAAATACCTTACTTGTAAATATTCTAAGTAAGGCACTTCTTACTTTAAAGCTTAATTACTGTAATATTCATAACTTGCATAATGTTTTAGTTACTTTTGAGTCCTAGTGTATATATATCATACAGATTCACTATCATTATGATCAAGTGTAATTCTACGCACATTGATTTACATACTTTGAGACTTAGTGTATGTACCATATATATGCACTATCATTGCAATCAAGTGTATTTGTTCGCACAATACTTTAAAAATGAGACATATCTACTTTGTGTTCTGTGTTTCGGATATTAGTGCAAAGCTACACAAGGGCTATCTACGCTAGCGGTGTTTAATTTAAAACCGATTGACTATAGTCAACAATACCTACCGCCAACTGTTGGGCTACTCTACTTTAATAATGGAATTTCACTGCTACTCTTTGAACGCACCATCAGACCCAAAGTGCAGAGCACGATTCAGTAGCAATGGAACGCGAGCCATGTATTCTCAGATCAATAGTTCAACACATTAACCTCTAGGCCACACTCGACCAAACAGTAGAATAACTAAATTTCTCACATTTGATTCAATTACTATACTTCTTTTACATGCTAGGGAGACCACACCCACAGATTAGACTATAGATTTAATAACAAACATAGAAATGCATATGGCGGAAGGATATCTAGGCTACCACGATTACACGGATTTATCTTCATCTCAAACGACTGTATTATTTGCATTCTTATTATTTTTGTAATTTATGATTTTTTGTCACTTACTCTGCTAGTTTTGTGTTTATAAACAGGTCTTTGTTTATTTGTTATAAAGCTTAAAGCTACACAATGGGGTATTCGTGCTCTACCCACCGCGAGTATCGAACCCGATTTTTAGCATCATAAGCCCACTGAAAACCTGTCTTTAGACAGTTCTTCATTCTAATAGACATGAATGTGTAACTTGTTTTAAACTACTGAATTAAAATTTAACAGAATAGACGAAAATAACCATTCTGTCATGACACTTATTACTGTAACAATTACGTTTTGGTGGACACTGTCGTCATTGTTGAATATTTTCTTCTGGCAGTTGGCGTGGTTGGATGGAGATGGCAACGTAGTAACGCAGGACATACATCTCACTACACATCTTCTGGGTGACAAAAAAAGAGCTAACGCTGCACTCAAGTGGACGTTTAAACCACGTCGAGAGCATGATGAAAAAACATTTTCATGCAGATCTGAGAATCCTGCAATAAAACAACCAATGGTGGCTACAATAAAACTTGCTGTTAAATGTAAGTTTCCAGGCTTCTTTCAGTTGTCCAATGTATATAGAATTAGACGTTTAACAAACAAGACGATTCTGATTACAGAAATACAATAATGATAATAACAACAAAGTAAAACTTTTGAAGCAAAAATATCATAAATATTCATATGATTTGTTGTAATTTCTTATAGATGTCTGCTAGAAACATGTTTATGACGTTTGGTGACCCTTTCCAAAATTATGATTGAAATCCTCCTATACAAAGACCTTTTCATCGTACATTTATCCGTCTTATTGTATTTCACAGTCCTTCAATATCGTTTTTGGGAATAAAAGATTTTTCTTTTTTTCCACTTTCCGTGACTCACGAGACCACTTTGAGGTCCGTTTAACACACAGCGCGATCCACTATAGCTTTTCCTACTTTCGTACCACTTTGAGGTGCGTTTTAATATAGTGCATAATCCACTATCGCTTCCCCTACTCTCAAGACAACTCTGAGGTTCCGTTTGAACATACTGCGTGATCTACTATCGCCTTCTCTACTCTCGAGACCACTTTGATCTATTACCTCTTTTCCTGTAGTTTTTATGACTTTATACAGTAACCTTTATTATTAAGTAACGGCAATGCTAATACCTTACCTAAAGTCCGTTGAGCAAAGATTGTAATATATTTAGTAGTACTCTACCAATTTCAATTCTAACTATACCGTTTTTTTTTTTTACATGAATATATATTGCTCTTTACATAACTCCCTTTTATAATACGGTATTAGTTTATTTCTTCTTTTTACAAGCTCAAATGTTGTATACAGAGGGTTCAGTACATTATATTAAGGCTATTTTGAATATGGAAATCAGCAAATTTCATGAAAACCACAGCCGATATAAAGTCGCATTGGAACAGAATTTGTCCAAACTACATTTTGACATTGTTTGGTTTAGGTAGGTAGTGTGACTCTACCGTAACTTGCTCATATTCACTCATCCATTCAGATCCTAAAGATGTGTTCAGATCAAGGATTTTATATTTTCATTACACTTTGTGACATTGGAAAACAAAGGAATATGGAGCCAAATGCAGCGTCTTTTAACAGGTGAGAATCCATGAATGCAAAGGCAAGTGCCAAAAGCCACCCACATGTTTTAGGCAACAATGCATAACCTAATCAAGAGGAACCCTTTAAAAAAACACGACACAATTCACCTGTACTCAAGTTGCTTCCACGACATACTTTCAACCATCGTATACTTCAAACAAGGATGAAATGGTTATTCATGTCATTTCATATGAAGACATACTGATCAAATCGCCGAAAACAATCGGACTTTTGAAATGTGCATTGGGAAGCCGTCGTCCTTTTCAACTATATGGCTCATGGAAAGCCTGTAGAGAAGAGTGGTGTGCTTTTGACGTGGCAGCCTTCCGACAAAGCTTTTACATCGGAAGTTTCGCTACAAGAGTATTGTCAAGATGCACAACCGTCAGATAAAACATAATTAGGCGTAGCGACAAGGACTGTAACGACGTGGTGAGGCTTCAGATTCATTTCAGTATTACGCACACAGCCTCTGTTAACCGATGCATCTGTTTTAAACTTTATTTCCTTGTATCAGTAAACGCACTCACACTTCCCATCCTCATTGTTTCTAATAGCTCCCTAGACGTTATTTACGTTCTAATTCATGGAGGTATCCAATATTTTGAATTACGAGATTACAAATAAACGTTTTAAGTTCCCCATGTTTGATAGCTTTAGAATATGTTCTAAGCTACTGTAAGAAATATCTGTGTTTTCCAACACTTGAATAATATATTTCATTATCTGATGATCTCGAACCTACGTTATCTTTTAACATTGTTACAGCTGGTATAATATTTGTTTACATGGTAGTGATTAGTCAAATTTAAAACACATTCAATGTTTTCAAAAAAGTTAAATATTATATTTTTTCTTGTTTGTTTGGTGTTAAGGGCGAAAACTACACACGGGTATAGAAACCCGGTTTCTTGCGTTATAAGCCCACAGACTTAGCGCTGTGCCACTGGTGAAATAATTTTTGTTTTTCATTCGTATTAGTGTGTTTTTACTTTTGTTCTTTGAGAAAAGATTATTCGCAGCTAATCTTATTGATATTATTATAGGTTAACATAGTTTAATTTTTTTTCTAATAGTTGGATAGTCATCGTCAAGCAGTTGCCACATGTTTCCTTAAGCGTAAAAATTTCATGGTAAATATAATTAAACACCATTCTGTACAATACAGGAGTAGAATACGTTCGTTCTTAACTTTCCAACACCACATTTGAATTGAATCTAGATAGTTGACAAAAAGATGGAAATAAGATTACGTTCACTGGATTTCAACTTTATTATCCAGAAAATGTTCTAACACTTTTGAAAATATCAGATGTGTGTGTGTGTTTACTACATTATGATCTATCTCATGGATACTTTTTGTATAAATTTTTTATGTAATGATATTAATACATATAAAAGTTTCCGAAATTAATGTATAAAGCTAGTATCGCTACTCCATTTTCTTTCTTTTGTGTGATTTTATATGGAGTCCGTAGTCATGCACGTAAAGCTGTCAGTATGAGGTGGTCTATGTATCCAGTGCTTTGTGAAGAAAGGCATTGCATGGTATTGAATGACTTTAAGCAACATCCTATATGATTTATAAAGGGGATAAAGTTATGTCAGAACATAAACTTACCGGGAATGATGAATGATGTTTCAGATCCCCCTGAAGTTACTCTAACGGCAAACAGGAAAAAAATCTCGGAGTTCGATGATGTTGAATTCACTTGTGACGCCGTAGCGAATCCAAAGGATGTCAAATACAAATGGTACAGGTAGGCTGACATGATGCTTTAAACGTTTTGTTTGAATGAGTATCGACCATTTGCACATTAATAGGGTTTTTTTGGTCATTTATTTTACTTAACGTCAAATTATTGAATAAAATGCTTTTATCCGACTGATATTACGTGCTTTTTTTCAGTTGATATTTTGGTCAAAAGATATTTATGGTATTTTAGTCGATTTCGAAAGATTCACTATCATATAACTAGACTCATGTGGAAATTCGAAACAGAAACAAAATATATCTTAAACATCTATTTGTTATGAAAATATTTTTACTTAGTTGATCATATGAATATACTATTTTTCTGCAATCATGAAAAGAATGGTTTCTTTTAAAATGTCGAATTTATGAACAGAATGTTTTGTTTGTTTTCTTAGTGGTTATCGTGATAATTAATTCTAAAATAATACTGTCGCTTTAAATATTTTAAGAATATTTTTCAAGATATAAAATGCATAAAACATAAAATCTATGATTATGTTACGTCTTCTTATGAGATAGAATATAAAGTTAATATTGAAAATCATCCTCATAATTACACTACTTCTAGTTACAGTGTATAAGACAGTTTACTTATTATAGCTTGTTTTTTTGAATTTAAATTTATCGTTACGTAATCAGAAGCCATATATCACTTAACTCGAAAAAAGAAAAAAAGTACTCGTGGATAGACATATTTCTATCGTTGTCTAACCCCAGTCAGATTTTCTTTTAGAAAAACTGAAAATATTACGATTTATAAAGAGCACCAACAAACCACAATATTCTTTAAAGTAAGAGCAATTCAGTGTTAAAGAGGTTAGTCTTATAAAAATAAAACTCTTTACAAGGATATGATTCTTATAGTATGGAACTTAAGTTCTAGGCTAGTTGGAAGATGTATTATGTGTAATCTTTTTCTAGTAAAAGTTAGTTTGTAATAAACCATTTATGATCAAGAATTTACAAAAATAGCTTTCAGGAGAAAATCTCAAGTAAATAACCTCATCCGTATTTTTGTTTACATATATATTTATAAATTATTCGCATTTAAGTGTTTTGCTTTTGTTTTAAAGTCAAACTTTTCACAGTTTGATTTTAGTTCTTCACAAAATATCCTTGTTAATCAGATACTATTAGAAAAAATTGTTCACAAAAGGTTTTATTCGTAGAGAGGATATTCTCAACAAACGTTTGTGAATATGGATACTAAACAAAACAAATTCGTGCTTTAAGAATGTTCTTTGCGAAGATTTATATAAAATTTACACTAAAATCCAGATCTAGTAGTTTTTTCTTGTTACTCGAGTACGTTTTTGGAATTCTGTTGTAAATTATAACCACTAAACAAATATTAACAAAGAAACGTACCTACGTATTTAACTAATTATTTGGTGATTTTAAACTATATTTCTGACAGAAATGACGAGTTGATTCCAGAACACCACGTCACAACTCTCTTTCTCAATAAAGTCACACGGCAACTCAATGGACAGACAATCAGCTGTGAAGTGGGCAACAAAATAGGAACTACAAAATCCACTTATTCTTTAAACATTGATTGTAAGTAAGGAAAAATTATGAAAAAATCAAAAAGTACTTTCCCGTGGAAAGTATGTTTGAAATTTTAAACATTTGTGTAGACTGATACTAAAGTCGTTAGATGCTCATAGTTCTGAATAATTAAAAACTAAGTAATTTTGAATCAGGAGATGGAGTAATATTCATTAGAATGATTTTAAATATTTTAACCTGGAAAGGTGCTTAATAATTTGTAGAATTGGAAAAGCCCTAACGAGAACACCCTCTTAAAGCAATGCACCATTAAACATATTGTAATTTCAAGTAAAGCTCGTTCAGTTTAAAGTTACCGAGTGATATTCTCCGAAGTTCATTTTACATTTTACTTCTCACTGCGTAGAGCCCCCCAGTGGCACAGCGGTATGTCTGTGGACTTACAGTGCTAGAAACCGGGTTTCGGTACCCGCGGTGGGCAGAGTACAGATAGCTCATTGTGTAGCTTTGTGCTTAGTTTCAAACAAACAAAAAACGAGACTCAATGCGTAGAGAAATGTTTAGAGAATATTATTTAAAGTTTCTAGGAGATAACGTGAGTTGAAATTTGTCAAATAATAACGTCTTTTCTACAGAGTAGCCTAATGTTTAATAAAATGGATTATTCTACCGTCAGTCTAACAATAGCTAATCAGCGGTATGTTGGTAATTATACAGAATCTTTAAATAAAAATGCACGAACAGTTATTTTCTGTACAAAAGAAAAAAGGTTAATTGAGTTATAGAGGCTGCATTTAGTTATTCAACTAAATCACTTTTTCCAGGATTCATATTTATTAGCGTTTTATTAACATACTTTGGCAACGTTTTCGGTAGAAAGTACTTAATATAATGTTAAATCTATGTTCATTTTTAATGGGTAAACTGACATTCAAGTACACAAGAAGAGATCAAATGACATAATATAGTTGCGTTATTATTGAATCTACCATTGTTATATAGATTCTCTCATATAAAAATAGTTGTTTTGTTATAGTCACATTTAATACTTATCTCGCTGAATGATTATCGGAGATTTTTCCGAACAAGTAAAACAATGCTAACATGAATTCATTTCTCCAGATGGTCCAGTATTTAAGTCATCTTTGGAGAACATAGCAGCAGATTTAGACAAGGAAGTACGATTGGTATGTGCCGTAGATAGCAATCCTCATCCTGAAATAACGTGGACTTTCGAGAAGAGCTCGCAGGTCGTTGGGACCGATAGAGAGCTCGTGATCCCAAAAATGACTCCAGAAAGAACAGGAAGATACACTTGTCATGCTTCAGTAACAGGATTTCCTGAGCTGTCTGCTGACTCGTTGGTCTTTATAAAAGGTATGATAAAGACAATAAAAAGATATTATAGTGTTTCACACAAGCCTTTTATTATTTATTATTGCACCGTGATTAATTAGAGGTGTTTTGTTGCATTTTGTGCAAAAGTAGAAATTTTTATTTAAGAGGACGTATTCACATATTAGATATTTTTTGACATTTTTGTTATTAAAATTGCTAACTAATTTTACTCTTTAAGGACCTCCCATCGTTAAAGGACCTGATATTCAGTATGGTATTGAAGGGCAGAAGGTGAAGGTAGAATGTTTAATCACCTCAGTTCCAGAGCCTTCCCGAGTAGTTTGGATGAAGCAGTCCAAGGTAACAATATTTTGATAAAAAAATCATTTGTTGTCTTGTGTATTAATTTCTATAACAACATTATCCCAATTTCGATGGAAGAACAAGCTTAATTTGTACATTTTTCTCATACGTCATATGTTACCGATATAATGAATATCAAATATATATATTCTACATTTTAAAATTTCGTTATTCCAAAATTAGGAATGGCGTGTTGAAATGGAAGAAAAATATTTGTTAGAGAAACATTTTACTAATGACTTATATTAATTACTTTCCAAGCTTTTTTTGCAATATAATTCAGCGTTTATAACATTTAAATAGAATTCTAAAGTCGATAAAGAAATATTATTCAATAATATTTATTATAACTTATAATGAGCAAAATCATGATATGATTATGAGATTAATGTTTGACAAAATTTGGTTTACATGCATTGTGAAAAGACCAACGTGTTATTATATGACAAATAACAGAATAACCATTGATAATTTTGTACCTATCTTTTCCTCCACTATTTTGATATACATTATACGTAATTTTTGTTCTACAGGATATTTACATCAGTATAAATATTAGTTTATTGGAACTCATTGTGTAAAATGTTTATATCATCTTGTACATTCGGTTTGTGACATGTTACAATATTTGTCGTAAGGAGAGGAAATCCACTCTATAATTTAAATATAAGTTCAGTGACAAGTTTTTGAGTGGATTATTATTTTTTAATTTTATAACAACTCTACACCCTACCACACACTGCCTTAGATACATCGTCGATGCATTTTGTGGAATTAAAGATAACGACTATTAACAGTCATTTCCATATTACGTAAACAACTTTCATGCTAACATCAAATTCACTTATGAAGAAGAAGAAAATAAAAACCATGTTTTGAATTACATGAATATGAGAAAAGAGAGAAACTTTAACACCAAAATCTGCCATAAATTATATAAATTGGACTCAACAAAAGCTTGGTACATTAACATGCATTTATAACACAGCATATAACATATACAGTAGTAGTGATCTTACAACATGAACAAGAATTATTCGATACATTTATTAACAAATGCCACTCTCCTAAACAAACCTTAGCCAAATAGAAAAACAACTTCAACAACGGAAGAAAAGAAAGGGATAACAACGTAAACTTCAAGAAGGAAACAAAATGTGCAAACTCGGACACATTAATAAGTGTCTTATCATATCATGGAAACAAGTATAAAAAATACAATCTAAAAAATAACGTTATTTTTATTCAAAAACCGAGTATTAAAATCAAAGGTCATCGAAGGAAATTTTATTCTGATAACTTCAACTACAGAGGCAATAGTAAATATCAGTGCAATCAATACTATAGGCTCCCAATGTCACAGCGGTAAGTCTGCGGACTTATACCGCTAAAAACGGGTTTAGATACCCGTGGTGGGCACAGCACAGATATCCCATTGTATAGTTTTATGCTTAACTACAAACAAACACCTATATAGGCGAAACGGGACACGACATAAATGTTGGGATCAAAGAACATAACAATACCCATCACACATTTACGAACACAGTACAACAAATCAACATCCAGTCTATATTAGTAACTTGAAAATATTATCTAAATAGAACAACATTAATAGAATAAAAAATAAAAGAAGCGTTAATTATTCTTCACCTAATACCTAATTAAAATCCAAACACTAATGTCACCCTATATGTTTCTAAATTGAAACAAAATGCTAGCGCAACGTTCCTTGCAATAGACGACAGTTTACATGATGATGACCACACGAGTGGTCTAAGCGTTGTTATAAAGTTAATAAAATAATTGACTTCTAAAGCTGTGTCTCTGGACTTTTTATCTATGTTACACAACCTTACCATCTACTCGTTTATTCCTCTATTGAGAAATAGGTTGCATGTTATACAAAATGAACGTTTTAAGTACACATTAAAAGAGAACTGTGAAATATTCTATTGAACTGGAAGACAGCGTGTAAAAAAAAAAAGTAACGTAGTAATAATTCTTAAAATCTCGTCCATTAGAAGAAATGAAAACAAATGAGCAGTTTAGATCTCTATTTTTAGTATATTGATATGTTTTTTTTAAAGGCAGAACCTGTAACGCTTTCAGAAGGTAAACATTCTTCCAAGAGAGATGAAATAATGAATAAAGGACCTCCTTCAAAAAGTCACTTTGGTTTCAATTTTTTGATTACTGTGATACAACTACTTTTGGGATCCCATCTCATTTGAAACTATCATAATTATGTTTGTCTTGTGGTTCAGTGTTCCATTGAATCTGTAACTTCATAAATAAAAACATTAGGAGATATTCTTCATAACCTAATCAATGTAATATATGATTGAAAAAAAATTGTATAATACATGTAAAACCTCCATTACTTAGGGTGATATTAAAAGGTAAGTAAAAACATGATTTATAAAATAAATACAAGCACGACATATTTAATATGAGAACAGTGATTTCAGAACGCGAAATTTGCAGAGAAAGCTATTATAATATAGATGTAACATAAACAAAAATTTAACGCTAATATTTTAATTCCAATTAAATAATTTTAACACATTTGCACTACCAACGTTTCGTATGACATTGTAAAAAAATATAATATTTCAGTGAAACATATTCCCAACTTTGGTAACATATCAATTATGTTTTTGTTTTTTTTTCAATCAATACGAACTGGCATGGCCTGGTGGTTAGGGCACTCGACTTGCAATCGCGGGTTCAAATCCCCAGCGCCGAATATGCTCGCCCTTTCAGCTGTGGGGGCGTTATAATGTCACGGCCAATCCAACTATTCGTAGGTAAAAGAGTTGGCGGTTTACTATACACATAATTTTTTTAGTCAACTTATTCACAATTTTATCCTTCTAATAATTTATAATAATGTTTCGTCAAACATTGTTTGATAAAAATAAAGTTTGCTCAAATGTCGTTCTTTTAAGAACATTAGAAAAATAGTGCACTAACCCTATGTTGTTTTTTCATGAGCAAAAAATCATCACGGCTTTACGGTTTTCAGCGATAATTTACAGTGCTCACCTAGAGAGTACTACATCCTTCATCAGTCACTCTGCACAGTCTGTTAATTATAAGATCCGCGCTACTTCTCTCATTGCCTCTCATGTTCTATTGGTTCAGGTGGTAGATATTGACAACACGGAAGGCTACGAGATCGTAACAGAGCACTTACCCGACGGTCTCAAGAATTTGCTGATCATCCACAAAGCAGAGGAGAGTGACTTCGGCGACTATAACTGCTCCGCTTGGAATACTTTAGGCCACGATAGCATGCTTATATCTGTCAGAAGACAAAGTAGGTTACTCCATTTTTTTTTGTTCTTAGTACATTAAAACTTCCATGTACAATTTTGTTGCGATGGTGCATGATATTTAATAATGCATGCTTTTAAAGTTTATATTACTTCACAACAAATTAATTGCTGATATTAGTAATGCGCAAACGTGATTGGAATACTTTATTTGACTTACACTTAAATCCCTGCTATTTGAGTTGAGAAAATTATTGACCTTTTTTATTTAGTTATTGTATTTCGTGTAATTAATTGTTTGTTGCATGACGCATGAAAATTGTTCGCTTATTTTGTGTATCATTATCCCCAGCGTGTGATGATGTTGGTGGCGGCGTAACGACTTTACTTTGCTCTGTGACAGGTAAGTACCGATATTATTCTTTTTGGTATTTTGTAAACTTTCCCTTTGCATCTTGTACTTCGTATAAAGTAAATTTTATAGGAAGTATTTTAATACCTATTACTTTATTTACTAGTGGTTAAAATGTAAAACAATGATGTAATAAAATGACACCATAGTGATACTTTAATACATATTTGGTATTATCTATAGTTTTTACTCTGCACCAAAAAATAAAAAATGTTGGGACGAAAACTATGCATAATTTTGGTAGTTTTGTGGGTTTGTGGGTTACAGGCAGCAACTATATTTTACATGATGTCCACAAATGTTTGTACACATTTTTAATGCATAAGAACTTTTAAACATGCAAAAAAGAGCATGTTGGTTTACGTACCCCCAGGTTTTGTTTCACGTCACATTACCTTGTTGAACTCAATACATTTCTACAAGTGTTTGTTCGCTATTTGTCAAATACATTTACAGGAACACGTTCTGGAATTGCAACAGTTGTTTCTTTGATTAAGGTCTCTTAGTTGTGCATGCGTAGATGGACGTGGGATTTAAATCGTAAACTTGCTCTAACCCCATAACCAAACATTCAGCGAAGATCATGGCATTTGGAGTAAGAGTCTTCCGCAACCAATCCTGCAGTTTGATAGAACAATTTCCAGCCTCTTGAATAACAATTAGCGTGGTATCCAGTTTTGTTGTGAAAGAAAACTAAACCATAACTTCATCAGTTCCCTTTATGAGAAGCAAAGGCTCTAGAGTATTGTATATGAAACCATCGACTCCCTTATTGAAGCTACAATGTCTTTATATAACATTCTAAGAATTCTCATTTTCTTTATTTAAGCTGGATTGTCTAGTATTCTGAACTCACATATCCTGTATCTTTGAAATGCTCTTGCTAAATTGCATTATTTGATGATGGCTGCGCGTGATACGTTAGTCGGAATTGGTGTTACACGAGAACATCAGATCTCAAATCTATGCCCTACCGAATAATCCATGTTCTTTGTTAAACAGTTACCATTTTATAACGACGTGTTAATAAAATCTCGAGTCTTGATTTCAGACAACATTGCAGAAATTTCGAGGTTTTCAGACCACACTCAATATATCACACGTCTTTATCTTTCTTGTTTATAATTTACTACGTCTAGAAAGTACACAACCGTCTGTAAACGCCCTGCATTTTATAAAATAAAACTCCCAGAACATGATCTCTGTTAAATACATTTAAAATGACATGAAAAGTTCCTTAGATTTTAAGTCAGTTTAACTTATTCTGGTTAGTAATAACTCTGCATTAAGACATATAATATCAATTAAAGAAGCTGAGGGTTTATCAAGTTTTTAATTATAAAGTTCTGAGGGTTTACCAAGTTTTTTAATTATAAATGTCTGAGAGTTTACTAAGGTTTTTAATATTAAAGTTCTGAGTGTTTACTAAGGTTTTTAATTTTAAAGTTCTGAGGGTTTACCAAGTTTTATAATTCTAAACTTCTGAGGGTTTACCAAGTTTTTTAATTATAAATGTCTGAGAGTTTACTAAGGTTTTTAATATTAAAGTTCTGAGTGTTTACTAAGGTTTTTAATTTTAAAGTTCTGAGGGTTTACCAAGTTTTATAATTCTAAACTTCTGAGGGTTTACCAAGTTTTATAAT